CTCCTTGTTAAATGTGTTTCAGTGTATATAGGGCATTGTTCAGACAGATGCTATCCTGTTTGTTTATACTATGTTGTGCATTTTCTATATTGTTTGTTTTAAATTGTGAGCTGCTCAGAGTCATCTTGGAGCCAAGTGATGCCTAAATCTAATCAAATAAATAAATAAAAATAAACCTTCCATCCTAATGAAAATGGCTTCTCTCCACCATGATGCTCAGCTGATTTGCAGGGAGCAGCTGAGTAGCAGATAATCTACAGCCCTGCTCCCTTTTCTTTGGAGATCATATGAGCAATATAAGGGGGGATCTGTGTGGAATAATGGTTAAGGTATTGGATTAGGCTCTAACCTATCCTCAGCCAAGGAAGCCCAAGGGATGACTATGGATTAGTCACTATCTCCCAGCCCAACCTCCCCCACACGGTTGATGTTCTTAAGGGAGAAAGGAGCACTGTGCATGCTGACTTGAGCTTCAGGAGGAAATAAATAAGAGATAGAAGAAGCACTTCTGAGCCTGCCAACCAATGGCTTGCTTCCCTGACAATGCATTTCAATATCTTAATTATCTGCCCTGCCTCTTGACCACTAATTTATGCATACTGGGAGTCTACATTAAGACTGGGATGGGAGGCAATTTGTGGTTCTCCAGAAGTTGTTGAACTTCGGTGCCCAGCAATCCTGTTCAATATAGCCAATGGGGAGGAATCCTGGGAGCTGAAGTTTACCAATACTCAGCAGGTCACAGGTTTTGCCAAATCCTGTTTGGGGGTCCTAACTATAATTGGCTTTGCAATAGGAAATTATATTGATGAAATCATGATCTACTTACCACTTCTCCAACTTTAATATGAGAGCATTTCTTCTCATTTGGAAAGGCAGAGCCATGGCTACAGATGGCAGTGAAAGCAAGTTTTAGTCCATCTGTGTCTCCTAGTACCTCCAGCTCTATCTCAGACCTGAGTGACTTAAAGACACAATAGTTGACACCGTGTCATTGGAAAAATAATGCCTTATAATTGTATGACTGATAACATCCCTTCCTGGATCCCAAGGTTGCCTTTGCAGGATCTTCTCTGAGAAACTAGCCCTGATGGTATTGCTGATGCTCCAAGTAGGTCAAACTAACCTCTGAAAGTAACTCCATTACCCTTGTGGTGGGAAAAGCCAGAAAACAAATACTAGGTTGAACTGAAGCATGTTGTTCTTGAGTGACCTTAGTGACCCCCAAAGAAAAGTGCCAGAACTCCACAACATATAAAGTAAGTAGCCAATAGAATGGTGGAGGTTGGGGTCATGACTGAATAAAATGATACACAAAATCTGCACTGGCATTCTTTTGTCCATTAACTGCTCAGTAAAGGAAAGTGTTGGAGAAGCAATCTTGCCTTTTTTAATAACTTGGTTTTCTGCCAGTCTGGATTTCATATAGAATAAACTTTGAACACTTTGAAGACATCAAATATTTGATTAGTGCTTTTTACAGTTTTTGACCTCTCAAGGCACATACCTACAGGCTTACTAAAATCTATGACTCAGATTGGAAGGGAATATAAAACGATCTTATAACAAATATTTTGACAATTCAGATTTCCCTCTTATGCTTACTTCCTCTAAAATATTTGAAAGTTAACACATCTGTGAATAATAACCTCTTGGATTTCTGCCACAATTTTAAAATGCTTCCATCACTGGAACAATTTTAAAATGGAAACCCCTAACCACTTAAGCAACTTTAAGTGGATTATCCTTTCAAGTGCAAAGGACAATTATGATTGCATTTTTAGAAAATGAGGCACAATATGACATTACTGTTACATTGGCGGCGGAGTGTCGCAATATTTTTGCACTAGCTTTAAAATCTGGAACACTGTGAAATGATGGGAGTTACTTGGTCCATTAAGAATGGTTGACTGCCTCATGTGTTAAGCAGGAGCAGCCAATCAGAGCTATGGTTTCATGGGCCATGCCCCCTTCCATGTGGTAATGGAGAACTTTCTCCAACTGATGACAATTTTTGCTAACCATTGAGTTATAGGCCATCTAGCTGAACTCCCAGCTCAGTGCAGGAAAGAATCCAGTCCACATGAACATCTCCAGTGAGGAAGAGTCTACCTTTGTTCTATGCAGCCTGTTCTACTACTTAATGGTAGGGATATGCAAAATGTATCATTTTTGGAATAGAACATTCTGAGAAATATACAATTCCATTTTTCTTCCAGACTATGCTGATCTATTTGTTCTAGGGATGGTCCAACAATTTTCTGGTAGCAAATCTTCTAGAATATGAAGCAATTGATGGTATTTCAGGGCCAGACCACATCCAGGCCACTGTGATAATCTCCCAGCTCCAAAAAGATTATTTTCAATAAACTGCCAGACTACCATCAGATCAGCGTATTCCAAAGAGAAGCAGAAAATTCAGCCATTCCCTAAAATTATACATTTTTGCACACCCCTATTTAACAGCTCATACCACCAGGAAATTCTTCCTAATATTCAGCCTGGATCTGTTTTCTTATGATTTCAACCAGCTGGTCTAAAATAAATTTTTAAAAAGATCTAGGCTGAAGCCATCATAAGACAAATGTGTAGTGTAGGAATAACATTACAAACATATTTTAATGTAAATAAACTGTACTAGTTGAGCCACTGGCTGAAATCACACATCATGCTGAGACAGGACTTTTTTTTCCATCCATGATCCCTTCAACAAGCCATAGTGATTTGATTAATGTAATGCCAAGTCAGAATGGGTTGAGATTCACACATTACCCTGAGCTATAAAGAATAATAGCTTAGTGTGATTTGTGAACCAGGCTTGTGTGTTGTAATGTACGCCATTATTCATTTCTTGTCTGCAACACTCTTATGTTGGAGATGGAGGATAGTTAAAATTAGCATAAAGAAAGAACTCCAAAATGTAGTTCCTGCAGTCTGAATTTTTTCACAGAAAGAAAATATTTCTGAAATCTTAAATCTGGCTGAGATTTCTCAGTGGTTTCAAGTTTTTGAAAGTGTGTTTTAAGACCCATTTTATTTGCTGTGCATCTATTTCTATATTTTCAGTGTTTGGTTTTACATCTCCAAATATTACAACACACCACACATATACTGTAGACTGGTATGAATAGTGGTTGAACAGTTGGATTAGAACTGGTTCAAGTCCACACTTAGCCATTAATTTCATGAATGGCTTTGGACCAACCACTATCTGATAACCCAACTGATCTCATAGATTTGCTGTGAAGATAAACTTGGAGGGGGGGGGGTGTATGTCACCTTGAGATCCTGAAGAAGATAAGGTATAAATGCAACAAATAAACAGACTCATATTGATCCTTTAAAGCTGCTGTGTAATTTTCCATTTCTCAGAGAAACAGGATGTGTAAAATGGAAGAGAATAAGGTTAGAAACAACAACAGAAAACAACAACAACAGAAAAAAGTGTTTATGTGTAAGCTGCCTTATAATTCTAAGAAAAGGCATTTGATTCTTTGGTAGAAGAAATATATTTTTTTCATATTTTATCTTTCCTGACAGGCAGTTCCTCAGAATCAACATTCAACTGGCCTGATCATCACTGTCACTATTCCCTGGACTCATTGAGGTTTACTACTGAAAAAAATAAACCTATAGAGGATTTCCCTGCACTACTGTCTCTTTAGGTCATAATTATAACGAAACAGGGAAAACTGTTGTAAACTATACTTCTTTACATTTTCTATGACTTCTTTGTCTGAGTTTTTATTTGCTTTCTGAACATAACCAATGTTTCCAAGAGAAAGAGAGAGAGAAGAATGCTATTTTTTTTCTTTTTTTTCCTAGGGTTTTTCCCGCAGGTGCAGGGTCTGCTTTTTTTTTGGATCAACCAAATGTTGATCCATTGGTTGTGACCAGCTTGCCACCCGAGCCTGATGTTGTGGGCTGAGAGAGAGTGACTGGCCCAAAGTCACCCAGCTGGTTTTCATGCCTAAGGTGGGACTAGGACTCACAGACTCCTGCTTTCTAGCCTGGTGCCATTACCACTAGGCCAAACTGGCTCTCGTGCTATGACCAAATTAATTTCTTTATATCAAATTACAAAACTATGAAATATTACTATTAACATTATTATTAATTTTACATACCTTATATGCATCTATAATCAACTGGAGGATATTTCCAGAATCATCCTGTAGTCTTCCAACAGTAGCTCCAGGAATAAGATCAGCATATTTCTGCAAAACAGAATTATATCCCCTTCTCAAGAAAAAAATAATCAAATATATAAGGTCACCTAACAGATGGTAAAAGATAAACATATCTCTTGGCCTCCAGTAAAAGTAAACAATGTTGGTTCCCTCATTTTAAGCACTTGTATTCAAAATTGTTCAGCTACTCCATACAGCAATGCTGAGGATTCTATATTATTTATAATCCTAAGAAATAACTTAGAGAAGCACATGCAAGAAGCAGCAGATATGAATTTTGAGTTCATGTGGCCCCACCCCTTCCCCACCTGAAAACCTTACTCCAGTGTAGTTTCATTCTCCATGAAAGCCATTGCATTTATTTACTAATATGCTCTATACCCCATAATTCTGCCACAGAGTTTGAAGCAAAACTATCCAGCTTTATAACCCATGGTTCGCAATGATTGCACAGAAACTAAATTCTGGTCTAGCCTCCTCACAGCTGCATTAGAGAGTAGAGGGAAGGGGAGCATGCAGGCCCTCATAAGTGAAACGTAGTGCTGAGTGTGTTTACTCATTAGAATCAGTAGAAACACAAAAGTTAGCATTCTGTGGACAAATGCTTGGCCTGCAATAGTTTTTCACATCTTAATTTTTTTTCATGGGGTTCAAGCCTCCTAACCAGCATGACTGTGATCCTTGCTGAGTTTTATTAACTATAGTTGATAAAACTCAGCTTATTAATATAATTAATAAGCATAGCTTATGCTTAATATAGTTAATAAGCAACTCATTGATTATTAATAAAATGAGACCCAGCTTAATCTATCCACTGTAGCTCTGTATGACTTGGAGAGACCACCCCCAGGCCCCGCTTCAGGCCATTAAAAGGGAGGGGTAAAGTGATCATGCACTTTTGATATGTTGGATTAGATCTCTAATCTTTTCCAAGGATGGGAGCTGAAATCCAGTCTACCTGAAGGCACTGTCCTGGGCAAGATGGTGGTTAACTTGGCAACTTGATCAAAACACAGAGATAAGCACCAGCCTTAAACTACAGTGGGGACATTAACTGAAGAACAAGGAACAAAAACAATAACAGAGACTAAAGTGAAGATATCAGTTAATGCATAGCAGAGAACATAATTTCTAAAGGAAGCTAAACACTGAGTTGGAAAGTAAATGGATGCAGTCTAAATCTGGCCTTGAGAACTGAATGTCCTCCAGATTTGTCAGAGTACAGTTGACACAATGACTTGTTGTTGACCATTCTGGCTAAGGCTGACTGGAACTGAGTTCAAAACATCTGGAAAACATTGTGTTGCCTCCCCTGATTTACATGACTAGCCTACATAAAGAACCAAGCAAGCAAGCACACTTCTTAGACTGTACCATTCACAGCTCAAGAGACAAGCTGGTCAATACTTATTCTGTGTGCAAAGTGCAGCATGCAAGGAAAACTGTAATTAGTACCTTTTCAGCTTCGCTTGGAAACCCCAGAGAAGCATAGCTTAATTAAGTGCATAAAGGCAAAGAGCTGACTGAAAGAAATCGGCTGTACATGAGGGTCCAGAAAATATACTTTGGATTTAAACAGTATAAAAGAAAATGCAGCTTGAATTATGGACAGACTCAGCCTCCAGTTTGATTTGGACTGGAGGATATTACACTGAAGATAGCCCAGACATCAAACACAATGAAAACCCTGTGCCACTTCAAAATTTAACTATGAAAACTGCTAATTAGGACTGGACAGTGTAACAGTATCAAAATGTGCTAAAAATTATGGATTTTTAGGTCATTTCTAAACCTGGCTCAAAGCGCTAGATTGATATTTAATTAAGACCATTCATGGTTTGTGATCAGGAAATTTATTTTCATACCAAGACCTTCCTATTTTTCCCTGAAAATTTTCTATGGATAGTTCTGCCCAGTGAGGTGCTGTTTGATGTTGGCATCACAGTTGGATAATCTCTTAGAGAGGCTTGCCAGTTACTCACCAAGATAACATTTTGGTATCAGGCAAAAATCAATTTAAGTTTCCAACAAGGTTTTTTTCACCCATTCTTATTTTAAATCCTATTATCTTAGTTTAGTTTATATACTGTTCTTCTAGGTTTTATGGGTAGTGTGTTTGCATCACAATTTTATTTTTCTTCTTTCATTATAAGGGCTGGCTAGAACATCAGCAGGAGATCACCAAGAAATTTCAAGAGTATAGGCTAAACTGGGAAGTTGGCAAAATATCCTAAAAAACAGAAATGGTAAAAAAGACTGCCATGTTGTTGCCAAGAAAGCTACACAGTCATACCTATGAAGTCACCAGGAGTTATAAAAATGGTTATTTTTCTCACTGTACATTTTCATATTAAAGCAAAATGTCATCAACAATGGTCTTAAAGGGTGATTGAATATATGTATACTCAGAGGTAAGCCTCCCTCAGTTTAATGGCATTAAAATACATGACTAGATTCCAACATTATGCTTTTGTAGTAGTAGTTCCCATTGAATACATGGGCAGGAAGAATGCTACATTCTCCCTGCAGCTTTCATTAAATTTATCCTACAGATTCCCCAGCTGTGGAGCAGATCCTGGAACATTTGAGAAACTTCAGGGAGAGGAGAAAGTCCAGTTGTGCTAATATGATTTGCATTTCACTCCAAGGATTTACAGCCCAGTTGCTGTGTGTGATGGAGAAATACTCTTACGTAAGAACATAATTTGCTTTTCTTTCCCAGAAATCCAAAATACTTTGCCTCCATTATATCTTTACAACAAACCCAAAGCAAGTTTGGAGTAATATTATATTATCCATACTATCAAATATTATGGCAAAGATGGAAGCTGGGGACTGTGTTTTCTTAAGCACCCCCTCAGCTCACTTTTCTGGAAGAAGAGAACTTTAAGGCAGTAATTAGTATGCGCTGCCTATTATTTATTCCATGCTCAGTTTTTCTCTTGTTCAAGTTCAAATCTTGCTATTGAAGAATCTTATTTTTAGTATTGAGCTTCAGGGTTTAGTGACCATGTTCCAGGCAGCAGATTTCCTGACATTTCACTGGCAACTGTGGATGGCATTTCAGAGGCAAGGTAGTCTAGTATGCAGACCACAGACAACTGTCCAGAGACTGACTGGACTCCTGTCTTTATAGCCAGGTGACCTGACTTTTGATTGGTCTTTAGCCAAGCTGGTTTCCAATTGGTGCAGGTTGGTGAGGGCTGGTCTCTGATTGGTTCTTTCTTTGTGCCTGATCCTGATGATTCATTTTGGTGGTGTTGGTTCCTGATTGGTCCTTTGTTCATGCCAGCTTCTGATTGGTCATTTTTGGAGTGCTGAATCAGCATCAAGATCATTCCCAAGTAGTTTATAGCCTGATTTACAATATCATTTTAGAAACAAGGAAGAATGATGAGAAATTTCATTTTGGTGGTGTTGGTTCCTGATTGGTCCTTTGTTCATGCCAGCTTCTGATTGGTCATTTTTGGAGTGCTGAATCAGCATCAAGATCATTCCCAAGTAGTTTATAGCCTGATTTACAATATCATTTTAGAAACAAGGAAGAATGATGAGAAATACCCTTTTAAAAATAAAAATACAAAATTAAGAAGCCACTAGATACATGTGTGATACATCCCCTGTAGCTATGTTAAATCTGCATTAGAAGCCACATTTGCTTGTTTATTTTCATTGGAAGCTGTCTTATTCAGTGCTGTGAGACTGGGAACATTTAACTAAGGCTGTAAGCTTATACCTACTTTTCTTGAAGTCTCACTGAACTTAACAGGAACTCCATCCATGTAGATGTAGATAGGAGTGTACTGTAAGCCACGCATGGCATTATTAGTGGTGCAAATGTGGTTTGACAGCTTTCTCTGAGAGGCTTTCAGGGCTTGACTGAACATTATATCTAAGGGAAACTCAGTCCATTCAAGAAGTGAAAAGGGGAGGAAATGGATGGACAGGTTCTAAGATAAGGAGTTTCTGGCTTTCTGTGTATATTATTTAATCGTGAGATAGTCACCACTCACTGACCACAAGATCACATTTTCTTTAGAATTCTACACTCTTCACTATCTCTTTGTACTTCCACTATTATATGAAAAGCTTCACATTTCATTACTTTTATTCTCATGTCATAGTTCCCAGGTGGCTTCATTTGTTCTCCAGGAACATTAAATTGGGTTTGGTAATGTTCAAAACTCCCATTCTATTGTTTTCTTTCTTTTTTTAATAATATTTTTATTAGAGTTTTGCATAGTTAAAAGCTAATGCCGAATTAGAAGAGATACACAAACAAAAAAGAAGAAGAAAGAGAACAAGAGAAAGAAAAAGAAAAAAGAAAAAGATGTATAAAAAGTGGTTCCCCCCTCCCTCCAAACAAGTATAAGCATTTACAGTAGCTTAACACCTTCTCTTTTACAGAAATAAAAAACCCTCTTCTTCCCATTTCTCATCACTAAACAATAACCAAATTATAGAAAGATTCATCAATCAATCTTACTCAGCAAAATCATTAAGAATACCAGTAGTAGTAACCTACAGTATATGTTTTAAGCTTAGACAAATAAATCTATTTTGCATTTTGACTTATAACTTTCTCTAATAAGTAAGACATGAAAGATTTATTTCCATAGGTATAAAGAATATCAAAAATAGAAACATATATATTTTAAACTAGATCAAATAGGTCCCTTTTACATTCTAACCCATAACTGTCTCTAACAAGTAGGAGGTAAAAAAGTTATCCCCATATGAAAACCTCTTTACATCATCTTGGAATCCTAGTAAAAAAAAAAAATTCCAGTAATAACAACCCCAAATCAAAATTTATACCGTTTAACCTTGGTCAAATAAGTCCACTTTAAACTCCTTTTTCTTCTTCTTAAGAGGCTTAATCTTTAGTCACTTTTTCAAATAAAGTCCCACATAGTGATTTCTTATAATTTTCTCCCTACTTTTCTTGAAGTCTCACTGAACTCAACAGGAACTCCATCCACATAGATGTAGATAGGAGTGTACTGTAAGCCACACATGTTCAGTAGCAACTTCAGTTATTTAGTACTTCCCTTCTGTGGATCAAAAATCACTCTCCAAATCACTCTTCTGATTTATAATCAGGATATCCCTTTTAATTGTTAAATCATCAGCCAGCAGAGTTTGTATTTCCATTACAACTTCTTTCTCCATGTCACTCTTGTAGTCAAATATTTTTAAGTCCATTTTCA